ATGCTGGGAATCCAGCTAGATAATATCTGGAAGGTATTTCAGGCTGAAAATTCCTAGATGTTGCTACATTTTTGTATGGTTTTTTGAATCTTGGCCCAAAAAAAAAAAATTCTGTTTACTACCTGCTTTCCCCTCCCTCCAAGAACACCCTGTGGGATAGAAATTGGTCGTGAATATATAGACTGTGCTTCCAGAAGCTGAAGATCAGCATTTACCTATATGAAGGCCTCAAAAGGCCTTTGAGGTCTGTGGATGAAAAATAATATATAAAGGCTAGGTATTATGTGTGCAACCAGTTTTATAGAGCCACAGTTACTAAACAAAGGTTCTTTGACAAAGATGACAAAATTCAGGCTGCAGTCTTCATCACAGTTGTATTTCTTTTTCCTTCTTCTGTTTCTGGTGTTTGTGTAAATCTGTGAATGCTTGGAAACAGCTTTTGAAAACATGTTTACTGACATTCCTAATGCGACTTTTTGGAATGTAGCTGGTATTTAGAAAAGGAAAAAAATGCAGGATGAAAAAGCATACATTTTCCAATAACTTTTGTTCATATCTCCTTGGTAAACATTGTTTTTTCTTTTTTTCTTGTGATTCAAATGGAGCTTGAAATTAAAATAGCTCCGCTTGTTCACTTTCTTGTTCACATGCCACTATCACTGACCTTAGCACTAATCTAGGAACAGGTTTATTAATCATTTTTACTTCTTCTGATGGTTTTTACAGAAACAGAGATCAAATTATGTAGATCCTGTACAGCAGTAACTATCACTCAGGTTTCTCAGTAACAAATGCTAAATTAAAAAAAAAAAGCATCGCAGGCAGGCGTAGAATCCCCCACGATAGGGCTGGGAAGGTCCCTCCGGGTGGTTCCCTGTTACTTCCTGTAGTAATGAGGGATCTGTGAAGATGCTGAGTACATAACAAGTCAGTCAGTCCCATGTTCATCTTGTAGTACCCTGAGCAGTCCTTCTGAGTTCAGGGGCACTTTAACATACTTAAAATTTAGCAAACACTTAAGTGTGTTTAGCTGGATAAGGCCCAAGTCCTCAGTGTGTAATAAAATCAAGTCTAAATTCTGCTGCATTATGGAGTCTCTGCATGAAGAGTTCCAGTGATGAGTGTAACAGCTCTTTGACACACTGATGTTTTACTAGGATATGTTTACCAATACCCAACTCGGAACATTGTGCTGCTCCTTTTTTGTCGAAGTTGAAATCCTTGCCCAACTTGGTTTTTCATTTTTGGATGCTCAGTTTCCTTTTTTTCTGTTTAAATGAAGGTAACATTTGCTATAAAACCAGACCTATTGTAGAACAATTACAATAAACATTTTTAGAAGTCCTACAAATAGCCGAGGGTCCAATGTTTGCAAACAGAACTAAAAGGAGCTACCAAATATTCTCCATCTGAGTTTGTACCACCAGTGTATATTGTTGAGTAAACGTGCAATGAACGCCTTCCCAGGCAATACACAAACTGAGTGGCTACCCAGATGGGAGATCAGGGCATGCACAATGAATGTATGATGCTTTACCTGGTTTGAAAGTGGAAAGGAAAAAGTGCATACAAATGTGTTTGCTAAAACCAAATAATTATTTCATGTATCTTTTTCCATTGGTTACTTCGGGTAGAAGGATGTGTGAATTTCTAATGCTGTAAATTAATCCTACTCTGGCACACACTGTGCTGTGAGATCGTAAGTGAAAGACATGATTTACAAGCAGGGCTTGTGTTTTCACTGGCGTATTCTGAGAAATGCATAAGCGTTTTTAATGGCGGTAGAGTTTGAAGGCCTCTAAGTGGATGGCACTGGCTGTCCGCATGTAAAATCCCCCCCACAGCTTAATCAAGAAAGGCCACCTTTGTCAGCAGTTGGAACTGAAGGCGTGGATGGCCCCCTGCCCCCCAGGTGGAAGCAACGTGGCAGGTGGTGCAATGGCAGAGGCTGTCAGATACCAGTGTGGAAAGGGGGGAAAAATAATCTTTTTGATAATCAAAGAAAATACTTTTTTCTGAGCTATGTATGCCTTTTCTAACGATGGCAATTATGGCTTTTTGCCTTACATTAGTTAATGATTGCTGGTTTATTTAATAAATTGGATACAAAATAAACAAGTTAGAGTTTGCTATTGACCTATCAATTATGATGTCTGATTACTCCTCTGGGGAACATATGTAGTCATTTGTCCTGACATTTTGTTAAAATAAGGTGGTATTATGGGACCAATCCACCTAATTCCTTACTCCCTGGGGCCATTTAGTGTACTTAGCTGTTAGAAAGGTGATTTCTGAAGCATGACAGCTGTTGGTGTTGGGGCCATTGTGTGGTGAACAAAAACAGTTATATTCTACTCATATGCTGCCTTTGTATCATTAATACAGAAGCCATTTCATAAATTAGATACAACTCTTCCCTAGGAAATTGTATTACTGTTTTGCATTTCATTGTTGGAGTACATTTAAAAAAAAACCAACACAACCCAAACAAAAACCAACCAACACAGCACTGCAGTAGAAGGAGATGTTTGAACTTGGCATTGCTGTAAGGTCTATTGGGTTTATCCTATTAGCTGCTGACATTCCTGTCTGGTTATTTTGGTTGATTAGGTACATTACAAGTAGTTTCTCTTCGTGTTCTTTTTACCTTTTTATTAATTTTGTTAAGAGCCACACTTCAGCAAAAACATCACTAATAATTTTTCTTCCAGAAGGCATTTTCTAGGAAGTTGCAACTCTCTGTGTGCAGCAAAAAAAAACCTGTCAGAGTTCTTGTCTGCAGAGTTCACAAACCCAAGGAATTTGAATACCAAGATTAGGGCCTTAAGCACAATATCCTCCACTCCTATTTCTGGTACCAGGAGATCTCCACAAGTGTCAGCAGTTGCAGAACAATGTCAAACATTGTAGTCAGGGCGTACCCATTTAGAATGTTATAGAAAACATAGTCCAAGTTCTATTTTAAGCAGTGGGGCATGCCTTTAATAATTGGCATCGGTTCTTCTCATTTCTTAAAATCTCTTCCATTGATGTACCTTTTCAATGAAATAGAAAAGGTTTTTTCAGTTTCTGAAATGTGGAAGTGTTATAGTTTCATTTATGATCAAAACCCTTTTTACTGGCAAATCCTGCTGTAAGAAGTGTTTAACAGTGTTAAAAAGCACTGGCTTTGGATTAGATTGTTAGGCTTGTTTGTAGAGACTCGTAGATGACTTATATAACAACGATTTGGGCAGCATTACAGTCATTCTGTGGCTTAGCCCTGGCTAGTCAAGGCGTTCCTTGGTGCAGGGCTGGCTGTGAGACTGCAGGCACGTGCTAGGTTTCACACTTTTGACTTCGTTAAGCAGCCACCATGGGCTAGTATACTTTTTATGACATCTTCTGGAATTTTCTTAGTGAAGTCCAGTCCCTGAGATGAATCTGGCTCACCACTGGATGTCATCATTGCACTGTGATGAACTGCAACCGGAAGAACATTTATCTGGCAGTAAAAAATCATGTTGCCTGACCAAAGAAGGCATTTAATTTTGCCACATTTTAAATTACTCGCTATACAGTGATGACAGTTTGCAAGTAATTGGTCCATAATCTTTCCTTAAGGTATAGGACAGCACTCCAGTGTGTTATACAGACAATTCTGCACCTTCTGTAGTAAGGCTGTGCTGAAATCTCAGCTCCAACATTGGAGTGGGTCTCCAACATTGCAAAGACATACATGGTATGAAAGATCTCTTGGGGATCTCAATGTGCCATGTACTTCTTGAGAAGGCCAATGTCATTATCATAGCTTTAAAATAAAATACTTATTCTTCATATATTGAGTTACTCTGTCAACTAATATATGGAGAATATATTTCTACTGTAATTTCATAGGAGGAATTTAGAGGACTTAATTTTATTAACCCTCTGTCTCCTATTCGTAATAGAGGAAAACCTGTTAGAACTGTTAGATTGCTTCCTGCTTAAGTGAAATAGCAGAAATATATAGAAGTGTCTGGCAAATAATAAAAGTAGCTCCATTTTCTATTTGTCTCTTCAGTGCATTTATGAATCTGCAATTATGCATTCTGTGAAATGTGAATGTATACAACCCAAAGCAATAAGAAAAATGTGAAGTGTGTTGTACTGCAAGATGGAAAGTATTTCCCTGTCTTTCATCAGAAATTTGAAAACTAAAAAAACTAAATATAGTTCAGGGCACAAAACCAATTGTCAAATGCAATATTATCTCTTGACCCTTTCTTGCATATTTGTTTTGAGAATCTCTGTTAGCTAGTGAGACCTAGAGACACAAATTAAAAAAAAAACCATGGAGTTTATTGTCTTAAATGGTGTATGTATTAAGAAGAACGGAAACTGAGAAGCTAGTAATTAAAAACTTTATAGTAAGATTTTTGGCCAGAGTATTGATCTCAGTGGCACTGAGATACTAGTTTACTCATTTGACGGCCTGGCTTTCAGTGTATTTAAAAAAAAAAAAAAAAAAGAAGGTTAATTCTGTCATTTTGGATGTGAGTTTTCAATTAAACACACAAAGACACTCAAGATATAAGTTCCTAATGAATTTCCAAGTAAAACCATTTCCATAAATAAAACAGCAAGAGTAAAAACTGCTCTAGAAGGTATAAAAATGGCCTTAACGTTCTGTAAATATATGTTCCCCAGGTGTTAGCTAAATGGTAGTAAATTATAGAATAGGCAGTGTTTTCTCCTCTCTTACAAGGACTCCACAGCATCTTTTCCAGAAGCCAGACCATTAAGCTCTGCTAATTTTCTGTGACCTATTAAACATGCACATATTTCAACATTTTAGTACCATCTATCTACTGTGTTGTCTTGTGCTGTGCATGGAAGAATCATAGTATTAGTCATGTCGGTGAGCCATAATAAGTTTTGTATGAATGCAAGGTAATGCGTTACTGATGGTTTAATGATTCTTAGCAGACTTTTGCTGGTTTTTTAATGCATTTCTATGTCATTTTACATATTTTTTACAGCTGAGTTATTCTTTGAACCACATAAATCGAAAGCTGGTACTGGAATCTAAAGCGTCTATCAATACTAGAATTGTGGTGGTTGGTGCATCTGATGTTGGAATCTCTTTTCTGGAAACGCTCATTTTTTGGTAAGTTTTTAATTTAATTTCCTTTACTGAGAAGAACATGTTACCTTTTGTTTGAAGGGGCTTGCTTCCTTCATTTAGAAGCGTGCTTTGGGTCTGTATTCAAGTACTAGATGTTAAAGGACTGAGTGTCTGCAAATGTAAAGAGATAGGTGCTTGCATCCTGGCTGACTGGAACTCAAAAATGCTGACAATGTTGCTAGTAGATCCTCAAGGTGAAGGCACACTGAAAATGAGAATTCCACATACTTAAAATCTGTTTGACCCTTGTTCTTATCCAAAAATCCTGTAAGGGGATGTTAAGTCCATAGCCCTTCATGTGTGCTCCAAAGCAGCACTGATCTTTAAAGCTAGTTGTTGTGCCCAGTGGGATCACAAATCACTGCCTGAATCCCTCCCTTCTCTTACCTCGTTGTGATGCTATGTTCTCAGAGCTGTGCAGAAATGTACAACGTGAGCTTGTTGAGTTGTAATCTCACTGTGATTCTTTAGATTCTGATAACACCTTTTGATGCTTTTGATTCTGATGAGGCTTTTGATGTTCGGGATTGTTCAGGAACCAAAAAATTGTCATTTCTGGCCCTTCTGCCATTTTTGCTGTAGACCCTAGAGTAGGTGTGGGAAAGGTCTAGCAGAGGACACTTCTCTCTGGCAGTCACAGCCTGCTCAAGGGCCCACCAAGAACACAGGCCACCAGCATACATTAAAGAATTTTTCAGCAGTAAAACTGCAAATCGAATTGCTGTGGTTACGTTGAGTTATCCAAACTGGAGTAAATAAACTGGTTGAGAAGGGGAATAAATGTATGCAACTGTTTTTATACCTTCCATTGTCTAAGCCAGAGTAAACCTGTGGACGAGTTCTGCTGTTTTACAGACTTTCCAAAGTTAGGTCAGGGGTGCTCTCTCTGATATCTCATTGCTTGCACCTTCTATGCCAGTACCCCCTCCATACCAGTTTTAGGGGGTTATCAGGAAGTCAGACTGTGTATGTGATAATGCAATTCCTTTTATGCAATTGTTGTTTTCCTCATAGATTAAACATACGTACTAGAAACGTCTTGACAGACTTGCAGAAATGAATATAAAACTCAAATTCTGTATGCGATTGTTACAACAAAACGTTCATTGCAAAAACTAAGGGAGGCTGGCATTTTTAAGGTTGGCAGAGAATTGAAAATTTTGCCTATTTTTTTCAGTTAAGCCAAGAGTTTGTATTTCTACAACAACCATTAATAACATCACAAATTAAAATATCAATATGGCAAGAGAAGAAAACGTTGAAGTGCTTTATGGATGTTGTCATATTGCTGGAGCAGTGCTCTTTTTTCTTAGTTCCTGACTTCCTATAGAGCATCCCCTCTTGAGGTAAAATAGTTTTCCTCTCATCCTCCTGTGGTCAGCACCTTTTAGGCTTTCAGTTCCACCCAAAATTCAGTTAAAAATGTACTTTAAAGCTATGAGCCACTTTCTTGTTATTCATCCTGTGCTGTTTATTACTATGCTTCCAGTATAAAATACTGTGAGGGAAAAACAAAGCGTATTTACGCTCCAACCAAGTCAGTCAGCCAGAAGCTAAATCCTTCTGTAGTGAACAGGACATAGAGATAGTATTGTGTCTGCGGGGCAATCCTTTATAGATACCCTCCTCTGAGATACCTCAACCAAGACTTTTCAGCCAGAAGTTTTGTTTAAACAATACTCTAGCAACGAGTTCTTGCAGAACATGTTCTTCTTGTACATAGGAGAGAGTGCTGGCTTCAGCGCTGCACAAATGGAGTGCTCCTGCTTAAGAGAAATTGAGTATTGCTCTGAGAACGCAAAAAGCAGGCAGTCAGCACTTAGTGCAAAATGTCACAGAATTTATATTAATATATGTATAAATTTAAGAAAGATTATTTTTTTAATTTTCACATCAGCAGCAGGTAAAGCCTCCTGATCAATGTGAAGGCCTTTTAATACAATTTAGTTTAATTTACTCATGATTTTCTAACATTCTTTGCAAAGGTTACATGCACTAAAAATAGCTAGATTGAATCAATTTGTAAGCCTCTAATCCTTAAAAAGAGGAAGTAGTTTTCTCCTCGTTATTCTTCATACTTAATTATTTTACATTATCAGTCACCATGGAAACACACAAATGTAATTCACTTACCTACATAACAATTATTAGAACTAGATTTTACAAGTGTTTTCAACTTGTTTGAGACTGAAGAAATATATTTTTCATTGAACAGAGAAATAATCACGAGAATGACCTCTGCTCACTTGAGAGCTGCAGCAGGCTGCCTCTCGCTCCCATTGTGCTGGGGCAGGGGCACCCCAGTTCGCGGCACGTCTGCCGCGGCAGAGTGCTCCTGGGGAAGTTCAGTGTTGTCGCTCTCAGAGCAGCGCCGCGGAGCAGCCGTGGGCACCGCTTCCTATCCACCCGAACCGTGCCGCAAAGGGGGACTGTGTGCTGTGAACTGTTACCTTACAAAATGCTGCTTCAGTCTTTCGCTGTGGCTCGTTACCTTGCGGTTGGAGTTTCTGGAAACAGATTGTCAGAGAGGTCAGAGCACTTGGTGCACCCAAAGCAGCGCCCGTTATTTCAGAGGGCAATGCAGAAATGCGGCAAATGAGTCTATGGAATGACCTGCCAGAAGGCAAAGCTTCTTCCTAATGCTCGGGGTACTCTGAGCCCTGGAGAATTGCATCCGTTGCGCTTAATCTAACGCTAGGTCAGTGAAGGTGATCTCATTATTCATGTTCCACCATTCAAATAAATACGTCCTGCTGATTTTTTTTTTCTTGGAGTGTGATCACATGCAGACGTGTTTTCAGCTATAGCGCTACTTTTCTTTGGGATGCATATGAATTTTTTATTCAAGAAACAGGCGAGCGATGGAGGCGGCAGTGCTGGCAGTAATGCAGACAGAGCCTGGCCTCCCTTCTCGCGCTCGGCCGGCTGTCAGCGGGTGCAGGTGCGAAAGCGGCTCTGGAGGCTGCTGCTGTCCGACACGTGAGGAGCTGCAGCGAGCTCGGCAGCGGAGCTGAGACGCTGTGGAAGCGGGGGGAGTGAGTTGCATCATAAATTGCTGCAGTAATTAACTTCCCTGCAGGAGCGTGGCAAGCAGGGAAGGAATTGTGATTCCCACAATTCCTGCATGAGGCTCCTCCTGGGCAGTGCAATTATATGCTTCCCCTTGCACAAAGCCAGGACTTAGGTCACTCTCTAACACTAACACAAGGTTAGATAAATTGCAGCAGCATCAGACCGTTTGTTAAAGTGGTGTAAACTCTGAGCGATGTCCAGTCCTAAAGGAGAAGTAGCAACTGAACAAATACTCCCCTTGTGAAAAAGCAGCTCAGCCCAGCAACAGAGTCTCAGCCTCTATTGTTCTCTGCCCTCCAAACTGTTAGTGCTGACTGGCGCTCCTGCCTCCCCTTTGTTGCAGGATGTGGGGAGAAAGCCCTTTCAGCAATGGAGTGAATCAAGTCAAAGAAACTCCAAAGAGAGGTTAAGCTAAAATACAAGTTTTATTTATTTTTTAGTTTCCCTTGGGTGACTTGGTCTTGGGGGGGGAGGAAATGACAAGAAAGAGAGTTTTATCAGACATTCCAGTAAATATGTGCGTGCCCCCCCCTTACATTTGCAGTACTATGAGCCACTAACGTTGACAAATTACGTGAATGAAGACCCTAAAAAGGAGTCTGATTTAAGGCTAAAGGAAGTTTTTAAAACTTTTTTTGGTCATCCTCACTGAGATCAAGTATGCATATGCTAAATTTATACATGAAAAAAATGTTTTAAATATTCAACTGGCAAGTATTCAATGAAAATTGTATCTAAAAATTATTTTCAAGTGTAAAATCTGTTTTCATGAGCACAGAATATCAGTACCTCATATCGTGAATATGAGAAAAGGAGTAATGGGTTCAGTTCAGAGTTCTGCAAATACCAATTCTTGGTTTTTTTTGCAGGAGAAATATCAACTGCAGTTAAACAATTCATTTTAAAAAGTGTGAACAGCTAGAATTGGGGATACTGAGTTGCATAGTCCTCAGTTAAACCAGTGTTCCCTTAAATGTATGTAAGCTACAGCTTTTAATCTTTTCATATTCCCAAGTACTGACATGCTTTAAAAAATAACCTCATTGCTAAATACTAATTTACCAGCAGGGCAGGGTTTTTTTGTTTCTTCTTGTTTTCTTTGATAATTTAAGAATGATGGTAATGGCACCAGCATTAGACCAGAAGAACATACAAGTTAAAAAAAGCAGCATTTTCAGTTTACTCTGGTGGATGAGTTACAGAAAAGCATGCTAACTAGTACGCCCTGACAGCAGGTGATTGAAGTTTGGCTGCAAGAATGCAAAAAGCTTGCTCACAGCAGTATCTTGTCATTGGTTCCAGTGTAGTGAACCAATTAGCTTTTTATCCACCTCTTTGCATATAGCTGTGGAAAGCGTTATTGTCTTCTGATTATAAGGAAAACCCTTTTTAATCCATGATTTCGAAAACCTCCTTAATCCAACCTCTGGTGTAAACAATGACTTATTCTCTGAGGATGTTGGGAATATACATAATGTGCTACACAAAATTGCAATAAATGAATGGTGGTTAAGATCACAATATTTTGCATGAAAATGTTGTGAAATATATTCCCCTTTCCATGTGGGTGCATTCAAATAATTATTGCATTTAAAAAGCAAATGGATTAAAGTATATTTTTGTCAAAGCCCTGAACTTTTTTCTAAAAGTAGAATTAGAATCTAACACAGTAAATCTGTGAGTTTTTGTCTGCAGGACGGTTTCTCCCTGTGTGAGTTAAAGGTGTCTAAGATTAGCTTAGAAATGGCAGGGATCTTTAAAACAAGGTTTCTGACAGAACAGCTACAACTGCCATTATCTGGCAGCACAGTATTATACAATATCCTGCACATCTGTCCTGTTTGGCAATAGTTAGCATAATGCTTGCTGTTTAATTAGGCTTTTTATCTTTGCATTTGTCTGAGAACATC